CCCCAAAACCCCAAAACCCCAAAACCCCAAAACCCCAAAACCCCTTTTTTGCAGAATAGATTATAATCGTAATTATGGCAGACGTGTCTACGGAATCTAGGAAAATTCCTGGGAGGACCATTGAATACCCAGTCAGCGTGACCTTCCTCGATTTTTATAAGAAGGAAGCTATTGAAAACTGCATTAACAACCTCGTGCTAATGGACAGGCACTACCTCAACTTCAACAGGAAGTTTGTGACAGCTGTTAACAAGAGAAAGGAGAGAGTTAATGATATTGTCAAAAGAATCGCAACTATTACAGCCAAGTTCAAGGTCCTGGAGGATGTAAAGAAGGCTATCAGAATTTCCGCATCAAAGGCATACCCTCTGAAGAGAGACAAAAGATTCACCCAGTCCGTTCACTTTGACGAGGGTTTTGACCCAAAAGAAGAAGAAATGGATCCTAATTATAATAAGATCTATGGGCGTAGACTTCTACATGAGGTTGGAGAACTTGGAAACCGAGTTGAAATCTCCATGCAAGATCTATCAAATCTCATACAGATGTACAAGGAATTCAACCTGGAGAGAGACATTATTGGAGAGATGGCTAAAAGCAAGCGACAAGAAAGTGAGTCAGTCCTAGGAAGGACTCCTTCCGGAGTTAAGAACGTTTCTGAATTGCTTCTCTTTGACTCCTCTACTAACGTGTACTCTGACGTAAATGTTAAACTCTCAGATATTAAGATTGAAAAGCCAAAGACAAGGAAGCAGATCAAGAGAGAACAAAGGGAAAAACTTAAGCAAAAGTTGAAGGAGAAAAACATGAGAGAACGAATGAGCAATAGCACTAACAGTGATGCACTCCAAGCTGCTCCATCAAGTATAGTAAAAAGAGAAGAAAAGGAAATCGTTAAGAAAGATGAAATCTCCTTTATCCCTGGTCTAAAGGATATGCCACAGCATAATTTTGGGCATAAACTCAACTTAGGAGTTGAACTTTATGACTTTACTGATGAACAAGAAATTCTTGGAGGAGAAGGAAGTCATATTAGAGTCAATAATTTAAGCGATACTGAGAACATCATTGCTCCGAATAAAGTTAAAGAAAAGGAAAAGATGGAGAAAATGAATGAAAGTCAGATGACAGATAATACAGCCAATAGAGCCAAGTATCTAAAGCAAAGATTCTTTGAAGGAAACAATGTTTATAAGGATGCTCCAATTGATATGATTATTAAAGAGAAGAAGGGACTTCTTGATGAAGAGGGAGATCCTTATTCTGAGGCTGGTCCAGACGGGCCAAATGAAACTGAAGTACCTTTAAATACTCAAAATACTACATATGACACACAGCAAACTGCTCAAACTGAACAGCCAGGACAAACACCAGGTCCTCCAGCTCCACCTGGTCCACCTGCTCCTCCTGGCCAACCTCAAAATACAGGTGGGCCTCCTCCCCCACCTGGTCCTCCAGCTCCACCAGGACAAGCACAGGCTCCAGGAGGACCGCCTCCACCTCCTGGCCCTCCTGGGCAAGCAGCTCCTTCTGGAGCTCCTGCACCTCCAGGACCTCCTGCTCCTCCTCCACCAGGACAAATTGTGTCTGCAAGTTCAGGAGGAACAGCTCCTCCACCACCTCCAGGAGCAGGCGGGTTACCTCCTCCACCTCCTCCCCCACCACCCCCAGCTGGCAACAACCAAGGTAAGAAATACACTGGGCACTTAACCTCAAAAGCCCCTGCAAAGCAAACCCCACCACCAGGTCCACCTGCTCTGCCTTCTCAGCCTAAGACTTCCCCTCCAGGCCCACCTGGACCCCCAGCTCTTCCTCAAATTTCCCCGCCAGGACCGCCAGGACCGCCTGCACCACCTGCACCTCCTGCACCTCCTGCACCTCCTGCACCTCCTGCACCTTCTACCCAACAGACATCTGCTCCTCCCCTACCGCCTCAGTCACCTGTTCCTTCAGAGGTATCAGCGTCTGCTCCTTCACTTCCGCCGCAACCAAGTACAGGTCCGCCAATGCCGCCTTTACCGGGGCAGAGCCCAGGCTTGCCATCTTTGCCAGGTGCTGATGGTATTCCGCCGCTGCCACCGACAGGAGCTCCATCGAATCCCGGTAATTTGTAGGTGTAATAAGGTATAGATGACTCACTGATGGATTATAGTGGAAACCCTGATGAATCTATATTGTCAAATGTCAGCCAGATGCCTGATAGCGATCTAGGAATGGCCATAAAGGAGATCAGAGCTCCAGTCCCACAAGTACCACCTCAAGGAAAAGGTAGAAGACTTACGTTCCAAGAGGAACTTCTTATGCGGAGCCAGAATTTGAGCACTACTACAAGAAAGTTAAAGCCTAAGGAAGAAGTTAGCAAAGAAGGAATGAGTGGTATCTTAGCCCAAGTGCAAATGAGAATGGCAGCCCTAGGAGAAACTGGTAAAGTCACAAGGGCTAACAATCCTATTGATGAAGACTCAGGTGAAGAAGGAAGCAGTTCTGATGATTTCGATTAATTCTTTTCTCAAATATTTACGCATTCTATATAGAAGTGCATAAAATCTTTGTTCTCAGGTTTGATTACTAAGGCTCTTTTTTTCTCGTGAGATAGTATATAATTAGAAGAGCTGCATTTATTCAAAAGAAAGATTTTATCCCAACTTTAAGACTATTTCTCAAATATATTAAGCCTTAGACTTCGAATAAAGCATATCTAGACTTATATAGCTTAGAGAATATTGCTTTCTACCATATCAGAGCTCTCTGACTTCTTAAAGATTTAGCTTCTTGCTTGACTCAGCCATTACTCTCTTTAATAGCAACAAATTTAGAAATCTTACTTTGCAAGTCTTTAGATTTTTAGTAAAAATCTCTAACTTGTTCAATAAAGAGTCTTAGCAAAGGGGTTTTGGGGTTTTGGGGTTTTGGGGTTTTGGGGTTTTGGGGTTT